CAGAGAAATGTAAAAACAACACATAGAAATAAAAAGACGTGAAAAAAATCATTAAACATAATCATTGAAGGGACACAGATGCATCTACAAGTAAATATATATATATATATAAACAGTAACATTTAAATTATGTGGTAAAATATAATTTATTTGAACTAAGCTGGAAAAATAAATTTGAAGGTCAATTTAATCATAAAGCATGCAGTAAAGTTTTCCTTTTTTAAATTTAATTCCTGCATTTTAATAGCATTTTTTTGGTCCATGTATATATTTCTGCTTCTATATATGTCAGCTAAGGTCCTCCATATTTTTTATTTTTATTTGTATTTTTTGGGGTGTGTGAGTGGCTGTGGGGGCGTTTTGACGGACTTTTATTTTGAAGGGTTCCTTGCTACAACCGGAAAAAGAGTTCTTAAAGGCTCATTCTTGGATGAGGATTTCGATCAGGTAAACAGCTCTTCTTTTCGCTGTTTTTGGAATATCTGAAAGCGTTATTTACCGTGTGTTTATGACTATTAAATTCATGTCCCTCCATACAGTCCTGGTTCTGGTTCTGGTTCGGTTCGTAACCCTGTTTGTGTGTGAAAATGGGTCAGTGTTGACAGCTTCTATCAGCAGATGCTTGGCTGTATAATTTATCTGGTTCCTTTTGAAATGTTAAAATTTTGTTTGACACTGTTTAAGGTGATTTTTTAAAACATTTTACTTAAAAATAGTCGTGGGGAAATGCTTTATCTTCACCTGACGTGATATCCAACAGAAAAACACAGACATGTTTATGTCAGCAAAATCACTGGTTCCCATGTTTGGGGTCCCATTCAATGTATAAGACTGTAAAATCCAGCAAAATAGTGGAGAAGATTCTTCAAGGATCCCTAAATCATACAGCTTAAAAACTGTTTTGCAAAAATAATGTGTTTTAACCTAGAGCGTTTGAAAAGAGATGAAACTAATTATCTTAAAAGATAATGTCTATCATTTTTTGAGCTTATTTAAAGCACCACAGTCAGACAGGTGAGTCTCTTAAAGCACATTCCAGCACATTTGAGTAAAGTGAAACTGCTGAAACTATTCATTCTTTACATTAAGTTAACATTCCAAAATATTACGCAAATTCTATTTCATAATTACATTTTTTTTATTTTTCAAATCAACTTATTGATGATAGGACTGCTTCTCAGGACTTATTAAATTATGACTAGTCGAAGTAATTATGAGATAACTTTTTTTGTTCTCTCCAATTCCAATGAAAAATAGCTTAATTGACATGTTCTTGGCAGATTTTCCTGATATCTTCATATTGATATTAAAGTGATATTGTATCGACTGTAATTAGGAGTTATACTGTGACATAAATTTTAGCCATGTCCAGCCTTAATGTCAATGAAAAACACGAAACTAGTGTCTCTGCAAAAACATTTGGTCATGACTGTAAAATCTGATGTTGTGTAAATGTACATCAGTTTGGGACTTGATGGTTTCTTGATACAGCAGGTAAAGTAAGTATTGAACACGTCACCATTTTTCTCAGTAAATATATTACTAGAGGTGCTAATGACATGAAATTTTCACCAGATGTTGGTAACAACCCAAGTGATCCATACATACAAAGAAATCAAACCATAAATGTCCAGAAATGAAGTTATTTGTAATAATGTGGAATGGCACAGGGAAAAAGTATTGAACACATGAAGAAAGGGAGGTGTAAAAAGGCATGGAAAGCCAAGACACCAGCTGAACTCTCTCAGTAATTAGAAAGCAAGCCTGTCCCTTGTCAGTGCAAGTTAATATCAGCTGGTTCAGTCCCAAATGATGGCCAGGTATCACACAAGAACCATCTGATGATGGGTAAAAGTAAAGAGCTCTCTCAAGACCTTCACAACCTTATTGTTGCAAAGCATAATGATGGCATCGGTTACAGAAGAATGTCTAAACTTCTGAAGGTTCCAGTGAGCACTGTTGGGGCCATAATTCAGAAGTGGAAAGAACATTATTTCACCATAAACCAACCACGACCAGGTGCTCCTCACAAGATTTCTGACAGAGGAGTGAAAAGAATTATCAGAAGAGTTGTCCAAGAGCCAAGGACCACTTGTGGAGAGCTTCAGAAAGACCTGGAATTAGCAGGTACGATTGTTTCAAAGAAAACAATAAGTAATGCACTGAACCACCATGGCCTGTATGCACGCTCACCACGCAAGACTCCACTGCTGAAGAAACAGCATGTTGAAGCTCCTTTAAAGTTTGCTGCACAACATTTAGACAAGCCTGTGAAATACTGGGAGAATATAGTCTGGTCAGATGAGACCAACATTGAACTGTTTGGATGCCAGAATACACATCATGTTTGGAGGTCAAATGGCACTGCACATCAGCCCAAAACACCATACCAACAGTGAAGTTTGGAGGTGGGAACTTCATGGTGTGGGGCTGTTTTTCAGCATATGGTACTGGCAAACTTCAAATAATTGAAGGAAGGATGAGTGGAAAAATGTACAGAGACATTCTTGATAAAAATCTGCTTCCATCTACCAGGATGATGAAGATGAAATGTGGCTGGACATTTCAGCAAGACAATGAGCCCAAACACAAAGCCAAGGAAACTCTCAGTTGGTTTCAGAGAAAGAAACTAAAGCTGCTGGAATGGCCCAGCCAATCACCTGACCTGAATCCAACAGAAAATCTATGGAAAGAACTAAAGATCAGAGTTCATAGAAGAGGTCCACGAAACCTTCAAGATTTGAAGACTGTTTGTGTGGAAGAATGGGCCAAAATCACACCTGAGCAATGCATGCCACTAGTTTCTCCATACAGGAGGCGTCTTGAAGCTGTCATTGACAACAAAGGCTTTTGTACAAAGTATTAGATAAATTTCAGTAAGTGTGTTCAATACTTTTTCCCTGTGCCATTCCACATTATTACAAATAACTTAATTTCTGGACATTTATGGTTTGATTTCTTTGTATGTATGGATCACTTGGGTTGTTACCAACATCTGGTGAAAATTTCATGTCATTAGCACCTCTAGTAATATATTTACTGAGAAAAATGTTGACGTGTTCAATACTTATTTTACCCGATGTATGTTTCAGGTTTGATAAATATGAACTTTTATAAAGTATTTCAAAATATTATTTGGCTTTTTTGCAACCAGCATATGATTTATTGTTTCTTTCTTTCTTTCTCAGATGACCGACATGCTGCCATTAGTAGTGGTCCATGGAGGGGCGGGTCATGTCCCAAAGGAGCGCTCAGAAAACTCCGCAATGGGGGTGTGTTCAGCAACGCAAGCAGCATACCGCATTCTCCAGGATGGAGGCAGCAGCATGGATGCTGTGGTTGAAGCAGTGACCCGGCTGGAGAATAACCCGTTTTTTAACGCAGGTACCAAAACCTGAAAGTTCCTAGGACGAGGCAGAGCAAGAAGTTTCTGATGATCACTGTCTTGTAAAGTTATCTTTCTGTAGATGTTAAAATTTGCATGGAGTTAACGTTTTCTTTAAATAAAAGTTAAATTCCTTGCAAATTTTAACATTCACACTGATGAACATTTACATGTTTATTTTTTCTTAAAAATACAGTAAATGAACCCTTAGGACTAAAGGAGCTGCTGTTTTTGGTACTAGTATTGACCAGTCATGTGGCTGCATTTTTCATGGTCAACTTTTGAAAATCGCTACTTTTTTGTTTGTTTGTTTGTTTTTTTGTTTACACAGCTGGTAAAACTATAGACTATGGTATGGGTATGCACATTGCTTTGCGGTTTAAAGATAAAATAATCATCAACAATGACCAGATACATGCTCAAAACAGAGTGTTTTGCAGATGTTGTGAAGCATTCTTCCAGTATTGGCCTCAGGGCCATTATATTCCGTGGTGTTCAAGTTTTAATCAGTGTTTCTTTCATTATTGTCATTTACAATACATATAATGAAATAGAATGAAAAGACAGACTGTTCATTATCCTCTAAGCAGACAGTCACTCAAGGACATAAATATACCTCAAACTGGCCCCAGATGTTAATATTTATCTTTATGTTTTTCAAGATTTTCTGGTGGAGTAGTCCCTTGGACCCCCTACATGGGGGTGGGGTTGAGTAGGTGTTTCTGTGCCTGAATGATCTTAGGAGCCATGCTGTCAGTTGCAATAGAAATTGCCCTATCTCTACCAAGCAGGGGCACCAAAAAAATAAAATAAAATAAAATAAAAATGCCCCCCAAGTTCTTTTTCCTTTTTCCATTTCCTTAGCTATTCAGGTATAATAGAACCTCATAAATATAAAACAAACATTGTTTTTAATAATTAAGAGTTAAAAACAATTTATATTTTGTTTAATTTTTTTAAGTACCTCCTCAGAATAGGGACATCCAGTCTTAAAGCAATATTCTCAAATCAGAATCAGTTTTAAATGAATATGGAGGTTCTCAGGAAGTTATATTTATTTACTGTTATTTTACCAGGCAAGTCCCATTGAGATCTCAGATCTCTTTTTCAAGGAGGCCTGGGCCCGAAGGCAACCTATTGTACATGTTTTGTGTGGGTGGGGGAAACCGGAGCACCCAGAGAAAACCCACACAAGCACGAGGAGAACATGCAAACTCCGCACAGAAAGACCCCAGGTCCGAACCGGGGATRGAACCCAGGACCTTCTTGCTGTGGGGCGTCTGTGCTAACCACTGAGCCGTCGTGCCGCCCATATTTAAAGATAAAATAAATATGAAATAATTTAAATAATTACATAATAAATATAAATTAGACAGCACAGTGACACAGTTGGTATTGCCTCTAAAGAAGAAAGATGCTAGATCAACTGTCTGGGTTGTGTTTACATGTTCTCCCCATGCAGGAGTGGGTTTTCTCTGGGTCCTTTAGTTTTCTCTCACAGACCTACAGTAAATCATATTTATTAAAACGAATATGTCATGAAAAAGCAAATAAAAGAATAGCTGGGGATAATGCTACAGTAGATGTACTGTAGTTTGTAATTGTGCTTTTAGTCTTTATTTCCCAACTCTGGAACAAGCAATGTTTGTTTGTTTGTTTGTTTGTTTGTTTGTTTGTTTGTTTGTTTGTTTGTTTGTTTGTTTGTTTCCCAGCAACTCTGGAAATCGAGGAAAACCTGGAGAATGACTTTCACATTTTCCAGACAGGGAAAACTAAAGAAGTTTAAGAAAAACCTAAAAAAAATCAGAGATTAAGATAATCTGAATACTAATTTCTAACTGACCTGAAGGACAGTATCCAGTGTGTGTATGCTGTTATTATAATTATCATGTCATTATAATGATGTGCAGAGGCTAGCTTTTAGCATAGACTGGGGACATCAGGTATATAAAAGAAGTTCAGAGTGTTTTGTTTAATTATAAATGATAAGTTCAGACTGTCCCATGAGAATGAAATATTGTACTCACAAAAAGTTAGGGATATTTGGATTTCGGGTATTCTTTCAGGATGAACCTAAAGTACAATAATCTTTACAAGTGAACCTAATGTGACCTTATCTAATCTTTTAAATGCACATGTCCAACAGTTCAATGTTTCAATACTTTTTGCAGAATCTGCTGTTTTTCAAAAACAAATAAACCAATAACTTTCCTGGTTCAAGTAGAATTTGTTTTTAAATAGTCTTTTATCACGCTGTTCACATTTTGACATCATGAGACCATGATGACACCTAACAATTGATCAACAGAACCTCACCAAATATTCCTAACTTTTTATGAGTAGTGTATCTCCTGGAATATTTATATATGTGACCTGATGGATAGCCCTCAGCAGAGCTAAACAGCCAAAGAAAATCTGAAGCTCCTATGTTTAATAGTTTTTGAGCAATAACCATTTTTGTATGTCCAGATACCCCTTTTTCAGATAAATTGGGGGTCGGGGGCACTGATTGGTGGGCCTGATGGATAGAGCTTCATCAGAGCTAAACAACAAAAAAAGAAATCTGAAGCTCCTATGTTGAACAGTTTCTGAGTTATAAGCATTTTTGCATGTCCAGACACCCCCACTTTGAAAGGAGCCCCCTCCTCAAACATGCAGTGTATCGTAAAACCGTTGGCTGGCGCAGTGCAGGTCGGACTCTTCTACAGTCCTGCCAAATTTCATGTTGATTGGTGTAGCCGTTTTTGTGCTACGGTTGACTAAAAATCACTGGAAAAAAAAAACAGTACGAAAACAATATGACTCCCGCTTACGCTTTGCGTGCGGGGATCATAATTAGGTCATTTTGTCCAAATTTGACCTAATCCTCATTTCGATATGATGGGTCACATATATTTAGAGAGAACTCAGGGAATTTTGCTCTTACGAAATGATTGAAATGCTGGTAATCCTGAAATGTAACTGGTATTATTACCAGAGGTTTTGTCACATTGTCCCAGAAAAAAACTGTCTTTTATTATGACCCCCGCACGCGAATTGTAAGCGGGAGTCATATTTTTTCACTTTTTTTTTTCTCCGTAGATTTTTGGTCAACCGTAGCACAAAAACGGCTGCACCAGTCAATATGAAATTTGGCAGGACTGTAGATGTGTCTGACCTACACTGCGCTAGCCAACGGTTTTACGATAGACCCCATATTTGAGGAGGGGGCTCCTTTCGAAGTGGGGGTGTCAGGACATGCAAAAATGCTTATAACTCAGAAACTGTTCAACATAGAAGCTTCAGATTTGTGTTTTGTTTAGCTCTGATGAAGCTCTATCCATCAGGCCCACCAGTCAGTGCCCCCCCCC